GTAAGACCAGTACTTACAGGCATCCAATTCAATTTTAGGGTCATTAGACACCTATCATGGGTAACTTGACATGCTTTTGTCTTCTTTGCTTTGAGACCTCTTTGTCTAGTGTGTCTCACTAATATCAATAGTTACTAAAAATAAATTTGTTTTAAACAAACCCCCTGGTTTCTCTTGTTACGTTCTTTTTTATTTTGTTCTGCCCCAGGCCTATTAAAAACGGGAAAACTAGATTTTCGCTACACAGTCAATTTTTTGGTTATTCTTTTCATGTAGTATAATGTTTAATCAATCATATCCCATAACATACAAAGGGTTGCTTGTTTTGTATTGCTGGTCCGAGCATTTTAAGGATGGAACTCGAAAGGGACTACTCTTGTGTTAATCTGAATATTTTTTTGTTTGGTCGCCCTGAAATTGAGCTCGAGGTGGGTATTAAAATGGAATTATTGAACCCTTGTCAAGACAGTGTTGAAATACTTAGAGTTCCGACGCGGGCTATATACTTCAAGGATCTCTTATACTGACGCCTAACCAAATAACCGTTTAAGTTTCAAAGCTTAACAGCAGATAGGTCACTGGCACTTAACTAAGTCGTTCATCAATCCGTGCCATGTTTTTTTTTTATTCAAAACAATTCTTAACAAATTTCAGGCCATCCAGGAGAAGTCTAAGTTCACCTATGAACCCATATGGACACCAGACTCCCGAATTATCGATGACCATACCGGCAACGTCATCTATTTCAACGGGAACCTCATTCACTGTTTGGAGGAAGAAGGGCCTAAAAGTGTGAAGGTTTGTTGATTCAATATGCTCTTAAATAGGCCACACTGATTTAATTTATGGACGGCATAAAAAACAAAAAAAGGGGTTCTACAACCTCATGCCTTCCCCGGATAATGTTAACCATTCCTTATGACAAAATTATACATTTTGCATATTGATCATATAAAATATGATCCTCGTTTTATTCCCATTATAGATTATATCAATATCAGTTAGTCCTTTATTATATATAATGACAGCCTTATCTTATCAATGAAAGCTGTTCTAGCACTTCCTCATAAATTATGCAAATGGTATTATAATTTAAATGAATTATCTTCACCTATACTTAACCTTCAAAAGTGGCAAGTATGGACTACCTGGCTGTGATCACTATGGAAAATTATTCCAATTTTCCACTAAATATGCAAATAAAGTATTTTACCTACAAAGTACAGTTCTACCAATAAATGCACGGCTGTGCTATGGGATCACCAGTTTCACCAATTGTTACAAACCTGTACATGGAGAAGTTGAAACAAAGCCCTTAGCACTTTCGATGACACTCCCCCAGCCAACTGGTTTCGATATGTAGATGACACTTGGTGCAGATTGAAAAAGAGGGTAGCTGCTGATTTCTTTGACCACATCAACCAGATAGATGACAACATCAAGTTTACACAGGAGCCAAGTCATGACAACATGCTCCCTTTCCTAGACACCAAAACTATCGTAGAGGAAGATGATAACCTTCGTTTCGAAGTATATAGGAAACCAACCCAAACTGATCAATACCTGGCCTTTGATTCCCACCACCCTTTAGAACACAAACTAGCAGCGGTCAAAACTCTCTTCCATCGTGCAGACAACATAATCACTTCAGACCAAGCAAAAACGGACGAACATAGATACCTCCGAGGTGCCCTGCTGGCTAAGTGTGGCTACCAAAACTGGACTTTCAACAAAACTCTCAACCTTTGACCAACAAAAACAAGGTCAACATCACTATTCCGTATGCCCAAGGAGTATCTGAAAAACTCCAAATGGATCTTCCAAAACTTCTACATAGCCACTAACTTCAAGCCTCACTCAACCCTCAGACAATAATTGCTACATGTATCATGAAAGTTTGTCTGTGTTAGTAGTTACATGCATGTTCAAAGTTGAAAATATTGAACCAACCTAAATGACATGTATTTTAGGTAAAGTATTTCTGTGTGTTGGATCGAAAGCTTTAAGTTGTCTAATAGTACATTCTTAATCAAGGACATAGACTTACTGGATCGTTGATGTTTACCTTAACAGATATTTGCGGAGAAGTTACCACACCTGAACCGAGTGGAGGCGACTGTTGGTGAACTGGCGAATGTTGACTCTGGACTGACCTGCTGTTCCATCATATTCTAACCATTAAAGCCTCCCAATTTTAGCTCAACAACAGCATTTTTTTGTTTTCTTTTGTGAATGGTAATACAAAAAGTTGACCCAAATGTTTTTTGTAACCTTTTTTGGTGATTTAACCGGTGATTAAACTGTTAATCTTTTTTTCCTTTGGCGCGAAACTAAAAACGAAAATGTCATATGTACAAGTCTGACAATTTGAACTACAATGAGCATTTGACAATTGTAAATTACAGTTTTGTACTAATGTTATATTAATATCGCACACAATACAGGACGTATAATTGCATCTGTTTCAGTTACAATCACTTTAATTGCTTTTTACTTGTTCAGTTCTTTTAAATGAAAGGTAACTAATAAAATAAGTGAACAGCGCTAGCACTCCTTTCTCATTACTTTATTGGAAAAGATGCATGTGTTGCTTAGGTGGATAGATGGTATCTGGACACAATAGAGGTGTATTGAAAGTATCGATGCTTGTGTTATGTATGGTTATATTCGACTTACCTCAATTCATGGATTGTTTTCGTCATTAAAGGTGGGACATATCATTTAAACGTGGTACTTGTCTTCAATGCTATTAGTATCTTGGGTCGAAGAAAATAGTGTCAGACAGTCTGGTCCATCGATACATTGTGGACATTGTGGTCCTAGGAACTACATTCCCTCTCCCCAGATGCCTTTTTTTTATTAAACTACAGTTTATTTTCGGTCTCAAATTGATTTTGCACACCTTCAAGTACAGTTTATGCAGTTTTTTTTACAGTTTCATATATATATGCGAGTGTCGCTGGCAGTTTTGTGCCGTAGATTATCAATATTCAGATACTGTTCTTCCGTTTGGGTAGACTTGAACAGTCTGTAGGACCTCAGCTTGTTTTTGGCGGTTCCACCTTTGTTATCATTGTAAATTCTTTTGAGAAAGTATATGTCTTTCAAACGCTGATAAATGGAATTAGTAATTAGAGAAGTATTTGTGTTGGTCGACAGGGTACAATGCCATATATAGCCAAAACCGCACTCATCCAGAGACTTCCTAACTCCTGATCCCCAACATTTGGCATTGTCAAGTTATATTTGACAACAAAGAGCATCTGACAGAAAACTGTCCGCTGATACTTTATAAATGTGCCATGCAGGCATTCACGAATAAAGCATACTGAAGTAGCGAAATAAAAAACAAAGGTCATTGAAAGTAATGGTAGGTTATTTATACTCGCGTAATAATAATAAGATACTAATGATAAAGGTATCACGACAAACTTATGAAGTGCATAAATGAATTTGGATACTGAATTTGTATATATTGAAGTAAATGGACTTTTGTTAACTTGACCATGGAATATTAGAGTGGTCGCTTGAATAGTACAGTCCGGATGTGTGTGGCGTTTAATCTTTAAAAGAGGGGTGATTATCAAAAATAAAGTTTTATCTTTGAATAGATGTGTGTTTAAAATAGTCCATTTGATGGCTAGGAGATGTAGTGAAATATGCTGTATTTGTTGACGCCCAAATGAGTTAAAATTGGGTCTTTCCATCACCTCGGGGTAAACACCCGTGCAGACAACCAACCTGTACAATAGAAACTAAAGTTGATTAACCGGTCTGAATTTCTTCAGACACCGTAACAAGTCGTTACAATTTAGCGTGCGACATGGTGAAGAACAGCCAGGAAGATATCCGCACGGGTCTGCAGCAGAGTTTTGGGGTAGATATATTCAGTTCCGACAAGAATCCCCTGCCAGACGACAAGGTTCCCCTACACCCGCAGGTAGGTGGAGAATGCTAGTACGATCTTCTTGCAATTGTGAACTACTTTAACTGCTGTTTTTTTGTCGCCTGCGTAACCGGGCCGGCCACGAATCCAGGACCGCCAGTGCTGTTTGTAAAACAACTAGAATTATGGCCAGCTTAATTAAGAAATTCTATATAACACTTTAAAAAATGTTCACAAATACGAAATCGTTTAGTAGGTGTTGCCTAGTTTCTAAACGGCCTACACGTGTACAGTAAACGGGCGCACCCAGGATTCTTTGGCGCGTCCGGTCGCATATCGTTCCGACTACCACCCGGACTGTTCATCGGTGATTCGCTGATAAACAATGCAGTAGCACCCAAAGGAATATTCAGAAGTAGGATGTATGCAAACATCACCTGAATAAAACAGAGCTCCGGTCACCATAAAAACATGGTGAGAACTTGTAGGGGCGATCGTCAATATGTTGCTAACGAAATTATGATTTAATGATTGATTATTTTAATCAGAAAATAACCTACCACAGACACAACTTGTGATATAATTGTCTTTGTCAGAAGGACTATAAAAAGTCTGGCCGGAGTGTGGGGAACTGCGGATTTTGCGATATAACTCTTGAAGGCATGATTCGACGTCCATGATTTTTAGCAGGCAGATTACCGCTGTTGAGGCCGAAGTCAAGTACAAGTTTCGGCTTCGTGGGGGGTCCGTGCGTTACGTTAGTGCACCTTTTGTGTTTGTGGCTTGTTAGCAAGATAACTCAAGTATTTGTAAATTGTTGATTATAATTCTTGGTGTGGTGCTTACTATTGTCGGGACCAAGGTTCAGTTCGTTACTGAGCTTCGTGGGTGGTTTCGTTGTGACTACAGGAGGCATTTTGTTAATTTTTCTTGTGAGCAGGATAACTTTTGTATGTGTGGATGAAAGTTAATGAAATTTGATAGGCATGTTACTGTGGTGGTCTCCAAGATTGAGTTCAAAGATGAGAGTCGTGGAGGTCGTTATGTTTCCGTAATAGGACATTTTGTGTTTAGAAATCCCCACCTACATCTGCTTGGAGACAGCCGACAGCTGGATATAGCCGGGGAACCCCATAATGGGATGGGATCAAATGACGTTACATTGAGGGATTGTACTATAACTTCAGCAGGGGGAGGATAGGTTGGACATATGTCAGGTTATTTTCTACGGCCACACCAAGTAATTGCTATGGATGACGTCCACTGTAGACCTTAAATCTAATTACCTTAAATTTAAGGCAAGCGCGCAATAAAAACACGAAGGGCCGAAAAACGAGATGCCTAGATTTGGAATATACTAACTGTAGAAGTACAAATCTTAGGACACAAAGAACACAAGAAACAAGTCTTCTATTTGTCATAAAGACATATTAACAAAACAGCAGTAGTCACCCTGTTCTGATTCTTTCCTTTATAACACCTTCTCTTATTATATTTTGCGGCGCTGTCGTGACACTTTCAACACAGTAAGAATTTCTTGAACGTTTTTTTTCCAGTAACAGTCCAAACCCAAATAACGTGGGGGGGGGGGGGGCGTAACACGGGTGACGACGCATCTGTATAATCTGCGGCAAACCGTTTCAGGGTGTTCTGTACCATAAAAATAGTACAGAGATTCTTTTGTTCTTAAGACCAAATTGATTATTAAAAAGAGTGAAGAATACGCATGTTAATTTCTCTAACGATGTACCTCTGACGAAGAATTTGAGATCTCCGACCTCTAGTTATTTATCTTGTGTTGGGTTGGCCGGCTACGCTCTCCTTGCAGCAAAGGGTTGAGGTCGCAGACACAGTAATTAACCGCGACCCCCGGCGGTCTATGACGCGGGCATAGAAAGTAGTGCAGACAAACCTCTTGCATCCTGGCTAAAGCGACTTATGTGATAGGTAGCCATGAATGGACTGCACTGTGTGGTAAGGAAAGGTATCGGCTTGTACACAGTATGAGTTGGATTGTGAAGACTTCCCTGTTCGTGTATAAATGCGCGGCATTACGCAACCACGTTCCACATGTGGGGTCGTGTGGCGTAGCGGCAGAGTCCTGACATGCCACCGATCTTGTGCCCTTGGGAAAGGCACTTTACACGGCTTTCCCCACTTAGCTCAGGTGTAAATGAGTATTGTCCTGTAATGTATTTGTCCCCTGTGTTGGTGGCGGCATTAATATAAGTTTAAGAAACTTGAGTGTGTCGTCACCACGTCTGGTGATTACATGTTGGAATGAATAAAAAAAAAAAAAACACGTCCCAGGGTGAGTCGGCTGCAGTTCTGTTGACCCCGGTAGAGGGCCAAATCAAAGTGGTCGTCATTATGTTAAAAAACGATAACTTTTTTTTGGTTTTCAGTTATTTTGTAGAATATACCGTATATTTCAACATACTAGTTGGCCGTGATTCAATAGTGAACCCTACTATAATTTTTACCGCGTCGAAGTGAGTCACCTCGGGGTGCTTAACTATAGGAATCCCCATAGGGCGAAAACTGTGTTCTGCCACCTTGAATTGTGAGGAGCGTATAATCTCTGGGGCTCAATCGCAAGGGTATATGTGCATCAAACTCTCGGTCTAAATGAGTTATCTCTTTGGATAATTGCCTGAAAAATTACCCTAAAATGCCACATCTTCACGACGTATTAAAAACGACTATGCAGTTGTTATACATTTTTTTCTTGAAAAAAACAAAAACAAAATATAGGCCATATTTTATAAATACAAACTAGATGCTCACTGCCTAAATTCTTTGCTTACAGAAGGAACCTCACAAAAGTCGGCCAAAACAAGATGGCGGACGGGGCAGGCGCAACCCCCACGAAACGGCCAACTGGTTTTCCAAGCTTCTCTTTTGGTAAGTACGTGTACCCACCAAATCCACCGAACTTTAGACATTACCAGCGTGGGATAAAATTCAGAGTGAGAGTGATAAAATTCAGAGTGATTCGGAGTGCTTTCAGTTTCTGAGTTTTTTTGTATTTTTGACCCATGGGCTGAAGTGGTCTAGGAAGGTTTAGTGAGCATTGTTGGCGGAGGAATCTGACTCGGCCGGATGAGATTCATATTATCTACACATTTCTGCCTGTTTTTAACCTCCCTGGGTGCACTGTTTAGTGCGACAAACATAATGGGCCCCTGGATTATTCCCTGTGCTACACCGCAGGATGTATTTTGTCAGAAACTTTGTAGCGCACATTGAGTCGTCTGTGAGACATAAAACAAGGAACACATGTATTGGGGATGGTCAAATAAGTCAACCAAATAGGCACTGCACTGTGATGGTGTAATCAACCCGACCAAATGCTTTAGAAAGGTCAGTCGTTAGAAGGCCCAGATACCAGATCTAACTAATTTAGCTGTTGTTTTTTGTACCATGTATATGTAAAAAAAGTGTGTACTTTCAGTAGACGATGTAAACTTCATATTCATATTCTGAACTTCATATAAACTTGAAACCTAAGACCAGACTGTAAGGTTTGAACCAGTCACACCGGAAAAGACTACCTCCCTTTTCGATAAGTTTGGTGCTTGAGGTTTGTCTCTCCAAAAACACTGGGCAACTGGCATTGCGTCCTATCCGAGAGAACGTCAATAAAAGAAACTAGGTTCTCAGTTACACCTGAGTCAATTGAGGACATGTGTTTTACCACAAGAAAGGGGTAAGCCAGGTTTTAGAACCAAGAATTTTCGGGAATTTTCAGTCAACTATCCTAACCAGAAGACTACATGTACATTGTGACCTAGTGTGTTGATGCCTGGTCACCAGGCGACCGATTAGTTAGTTATTTAGCAAGATAACATGGCTGTGAGTAATTAGAAACAACAAATGGTAATGGATTAGTAATTTCTTTACAAGATACTAGTGTTCGTACTAAAATGTAGAAATTCTAGGTGTTCAGGACGGTTAAAGAAACTTTATTCGCAAAATCATGCCCGAAGCCTAATTGCTTTTAGAATCATTGCAATACTGTAACAGGAGACAGGTAACAACTGTCTGGAAAAAAAAACCCTTCTACTTCTACTACTACGCTAGCTATTATGGGGTTCGACTTTTTCTTTGAAGGCAGTGGATAATGAATAGTCCCACATTCTGCATAATTAGTGGGTTTTGTGATCTTAGTAGAAAAGCAGTTTTTTGGTGGTATTCTAAATGACGAAAGGATGGATAAATTGTTGTAACTGTCTGAAATAATCTGTTTCTTTCTGTCTCATACACTGCAGGACACTGCAGCTGGCTAACAAAATGTATTTCATTTTCCACTGCATTCATTGTACAATATTTACATAATCTCTCGTGCACAGGTAGTTTTGTTTTATATAGCGGCCTTTTTCTATCTCTAGTAGATGCGCACTTATTCTAATCTTACACATGGCAGCTCGCTCGTCAAATTCATTGTGGTATAGGTATTTTTCCATAGAGTAGTCGGATTTGAGAGTCTTGTAAAATCTTAGCTTGCGGTTATCTACAAACGATTGGTGAAAGAACGTTTGAACATACATATCAGTTAGTCTTCTCTTCAACAATGTACATATACTCTTGTCGTCTAGTGTACAATGGTTGGTGTTCCATAGAATAGCCTGCATTGTTAATTATTTCCTTGACATGGTGTAGCCTAGCCTGAGTACCATCCTACTTGTATGCCGGGGCTCCCACACTCGCTTCCCTAAGAAGTACTTCTTAGGGAAGCGAGTGCGGGAGCCCAGGCATACAAGTAGGATGGTACCCAGGCTAGGTGTAGCCAGCTTTTCTTACCGCTATTTCTAATATTGTGTTGCTGACAGAGTATGCATCTACCTGTAAGGGGTGTGTGAAAGTGTCCAGTTGTTTGAGTCTTAACCAATATTTAACTACATGGACGGATACATCTATATCTGTTAGGGACAACCCAAGTTCTGCCCTACTTGCTGGTTTACTAGAATTCCTGTGCACACCAAGAATATTTTTACAGAAGCGGTTCGGAGTTATCTTTACGGGACAATTGTCATTTGGGTAATCTTTACCCCAGATCTCATAGGCGAATAACATAATAGATTTGATGCACGCATCAAAGAGTTTGAGTAAGGCCTTGGGGGACAAAGAGGTGCGGATAAGGGGTTTAACCCTACCTAGACCGGGGGGGGGGCTAAAAGTGCCCGCCGCAACTTTGGTGTCACCTAGCGTCTGAACGGCTAGCCGTAAAACGACCAAACTTGGTGACTTTTCCTAAAATATTGTTGGCAACAATTCTCTATCATTGGAATAAGATAATAATTTTTTTGTGTTGCCATGGCAACGGGTTTCTGACAGGCATTTTTTGCTAAATTTAGTACTTTTTGTTTCAACAATAGAATTTTATGGGTTTTATGTCAAGTTACTCATGGTTGCTAATATTAATAATATCCCATATAATTTTATGTAAATTTTATCATTAAATATGCATAATTTATGCTAATTTGATGACGTCATTGGCCAAAATCCAAGATGGCGGACCATATCATTAGAACAGGTATATACGGGTTATTTTCATTAAAATTTCATCAATACTTCCATTTCTTTTTACAAAAAATGTTTGAATGAAGGTGTTTAGTATGTTTACAATGTATTTTAGGCTTTATCATGAAAAAAAAATATTTTTGAAAATTCAAGATTGATGATCCAAGATGGCGGATATCTTAAATATGCATGACGTCATTTTATGACGTCACCGGTGTTGTTATGGGCAACATAAGACTTAGTACACACTAATATTCTGTCATAAACACTTTTGGTAAAGTTATGTTGTATACCAGGGAGGTTTTCAGGGAAAAACCTATTGAGACGGTTTTGGCCAATAAAATCACATTAATGACGTCATAATGACGTCATATTACGTCATAACGACATAAAAATTGTAGATATGATAAATTTTCACTAGTACACCATTCTCTGAAAATTTGGTGGTCATACGACATACCGTTCTCGAGTTCTTAGGGGGGTCAAAAGAGCCCCCCCCCCCGGTCCCCCCATGTCAAAAAAAGCCCGGTCTAGGTAGGGTTAAGACTAAATACTGCTTCACGAGCTTTTAAAGATAATTGTTTTTGGCTAAAGAATAACTGCCAAACGAGGACAGAATTAGACCTAGGTAGGTATATGAGTTTGTGATTTGGATATTTTCTGCGCCGAAGGAAAATTTGGTGTTCTTAAATGTTCTTCCTGTTTTGTTGAAAATCATCACTTTGGTTAAATGCATCCAATGCAACTGCAGGGGGCAACAACAACAAATAAAACTACAATGTATTTTGGATGAGAAGAGCTGTCAAACATTGACATATTTATTAGCACGTTTTTTTGTCATCATTACAGACTATCGTTTAAAATTGCCTAAAACAAGGTACAAGTGGTACACAATCCATAAAATTCTAGAGCCAGGCTACCTTACAAGTCACATGCTTAACGTCATCGACGGTGCATCCTTGTCTCTTATAGATATCAGTATACCTTGGGATATGATTATTTTAATCTACATTAACCCTATTAAGACCGGGCTTTTTAGGTCATGCTGGAACTAAACAAAAACCTACGTAGGAACGCTAAATTATCAGAGGGTGGTATGGCAATAAAGGGTACCATGAGAACAACTTTGGTGTCGTTATGATGTGATATGACGTCATTATCGGTGCACACACCAATTCTTCCGCGACAGGGGTAGTGCCCGGAAAAAAGTGAGGAAGGGGTTCCGATGGTTCATGTTTGAGTTTACATTTCTCATAATCTGCTGCAAAATGGTATTAACTATTAACATGGCTGGAAAGTGCAAGACGTGGCGTGTTTTGGGTAAAAATTGATTTCGGTTCCGAGGCTTACTTTCGGGTGTCCTTTCACCTTGAGCGCTGTGCTTCGGTTTGACCTAGACATGCCTTGTATGCGTTCTGGGGGTGCTGTGGTATGCGTCGCGCGACGGTCTATTGTGATAATCTCAGTGTTAGGTATTTCCTAAAAGAGACAATCGCTAGAGTTGAGGGTATGCAGAATCGAATTGAGACCCCAAATAAACTGGGGTGCGCCTTCTTAATAATTAAAACATATTGAATGTGTTTTTGGAGGGGGGGGGGCTAAAACAGTATTAAAAAATCCCGTGAAACTCAGAGGAATATAACCAAACTTTAACACTAGGGAGGCCGACATTTACTTGGGAGCAAATACAGCATATGTCAGTCCATAATAGGATGGTCGGCATATTCCATCGTCGTGATTGTAGATGACGTAATGATCGTAGGCACATACAATTGAATGTGTGGGCCATTGCGCACGACTTACGTGCAATGTGACCTCAGGTAACCCGCAATGTTCGATGTGTTCGAGCAGTGTTCGATGGCCAATGGCAGATGGAACGGGCCATTCCTTAGATAGAACGTGGAACGGGTATAGCACTTGTGGCCCTTTTTTGGCTGAAAATAGCCATTAAAGTCCCCTAAATGAGTCATTTGGAAGTGGTGTATGCCAAATATGTGACTGCTGTTCTATAGACACATGTTCAAGGTACCCTTATACCGAATTTCAGACCATTTGGTTGTACTACCAGGGATCAGGATCCAAAAATCCATTTTTGTCGAAAAATGCCCCAAAAAACCTTCAAAGACATTTCTCAAAGGCATGTATCAAAAAAATGGAAAAAACGCCTGGGGGTATTGGCCCACTTTACCTCCATGCCAAATTTCATTGGCTAAAAAATGCCATTTGGCTAAAAACTGACAGAGTTGAATCTAATTTGACTGTGTGGCAGGAGAAGGAGGAGAAGGAGAAGAAACATGAGAGAACACAATATATTTTATCCATACCATATGGTATGGACTGAAACATAAAAACGCGGTTATGAAAGAATAACAAGGTATACTTGGACCTGTTGTCCCTGTCAACAACACTGGCGGCATAAAAACACTAAAAATATCGGCCGTTGCCGGGGTTATAATCCACCACTGGCAAATGCCATTTAGGAGCTGAAGGTGCCGACATCCGATGCCAGGAGAGTGTTTAAAAGCTGTAAAAAAGTCACCTAATATGTTTGTAACCTTTGTCAGAAGGTTATGCTTTTAGGTCGACCATATGTATAGGGGTTGTTGATTTTTAATCGGTAATAACTTGGGGTGTGGAGCATACACCTCCATGACATTTGGCAGGTAGGATGAGTTTGGGAAAAGAAATGTCAAGGTTAATTCTTGGCACTCTAGTGGTTTTGTGAGGTACTACAGCGGGGTACATCGTTTTTTATATCTCGTGCTTGAATCTGTATGTCACAGTTTCCTCTGTATGTTTTTATTTGTAGCTGGGCGAACGCGATAGTGGTGAAAGGGTACAGACAGAGACTGGAGAACGAAGATCTCTACCCACTGAGAGAGAAGGATACCTCCCTGGTAGTTACCAACGAGTTCCGACCGTAAGTTTTTCTTTTTATTTCAACCAAACAACACAATTCTCTTATAATATGTTAGTTTCTGCGATCTCTCGCAACGGTTTTATGAGGGCTGAATGCAGCGGTGCGCACTTGCAGGTGTGGAGGCCTACTTTAAAGAATTACCTATGGCTGACAGGTCGTAAAATTAACAAAACGTTGTATAATCATTTCATGAAGCCCTTTATAACAAATCCAGTTAAAATCATGTCATACTGGGAAGATGATTTCAATGAAGTCATACCATGGAAAGAAGTATTTATTTTACCATACAGACTTGTACTGGATACCCAAACCATAATATTTCAATTTAAATTACTTCATAAATCCTTATTAGCCACAAACAAGAAATTGTATCTCTAAAACATTAACAACTCGTCAAATTGCTTTTTGTGTGGTGAGGAGGAAGAAGCATCAAAACACATCTTTTGATACTGTTCTAAAGTCATTTGTTTTTGGGAATCTGTTCATGACTGGTTCCAGGACAAAACGAAAACCAATCTGCAACTGAATGGATTTAACATAGTGTTTGGGGATCTGAATGACCAATGCTCTGCCATTTCTAATTTAATCATGCTGTAAGGAAAAATGTACATTTTCAAAAAGAATGTTCAAATTGTCGAACTTCGTATCTTTTGTCAAATATTTTCATGATCCAGGAGATTAATATTGCAAGAAGAAGAGGTAAAGTATCTAAACACATGGATAAGTGGGAGAAATTGTACTCTGCATTTGAGTAGATAATTTAGCTATGGTTTTAGCGTTTTTTTTGTAGATTTGTTACGGTACCATAATTGTTTATTCGTTTCATGTTCATGTATCAGTTTGTCTCGTTTCCAACGTGATTGTTATGTATATTGAATCTGAATAAAGATTGTTAAAAAAACAATACATATTGGTGACTCACTTAGCAAAATAGCTTTTGTCAGCGTTAGCACAGGGCATAAAATACAAATTACATCACATGACAACAAAAATATCAAATAGGTCAAACATTAACGTGACATCTGTAAGTAGTATAAATCGGTGAAGGGATCGCTTAGTTTCGAACAGGCATGACTGTGTAAACGTAAGACTATAAGTTATGATTTCAGGTGACGGTAGAGGTTATCCTATGGGTAACAGATATACAGTAAAACTATAAGATGATTTTTCAAAAGCATTTGATATTGTCCAATTCCATATAAATGGAATGTAAAAGACCCTGAATTGCAAGTATAGGGCAGCGCAGAAGGAGGAGCCTAGACATTAGAAAATACAACTAAAGACTGCAATATTATATATTAAATTCATGCCATTAATTATATAAATGTGGCGCCCAAAGCAGAACTAGTCAATGTTTCCGTACACAAATACAGTTGCATTTCATATAATCATGTTTATGTATCATTTGGACCCATTTTATATGTACATTGTAATTCCTTCCGCAACTGATTCTTACATCTTCCATGTTATCCTGTTCCTTATTAAAATGTTATCATAAATACAAAAGAACAATAAAAACTGTTTTTTTGTGTGTGTGAACAGGTATTGGGAGAGAGAACTAAAGAAGTCAACACCCGAGAAACCCCCAAGCTTATCAAAAGCAATCATCAGATGCTATGGCTTGCGATATTTCCTGGTCGGATTTGTAAAGCTTTTCGATGTAAGTAACTATTTAACAAGCTCGGTGAATTTACATCCAGTTACATGTTATGTGCTACAAAATAAAACTAATTACGAATGGTTTGCACAGATTTGGCAGTGTTCCTTTTGCGTCTTCTTTTTTTAAAATGTGTTTGTGTCTTTTGTTTCTTATTGTCTTCCTACCCTTTCTTACAGGATGCCTTAACGTTGGTTAAGCCTATTATCATCGGCTACATCATTAAGTACTTCGAGCCCAGTAGCGGCATGACCCTGACCGATGCCTACATGTACGCTGGGATTCTTGCTGGTCTGCAGGTTTTCCAAGTCATCATCGGCTACTACGAATGGCCTGTCCACCTGTGGGCATTTCATTTTGAAACGGCGATCATGAATATGGCGAACGAAAAGGTACAGAAATGCCTTTCATTATAACTTAGGTGTATTTATTGTTTTAGGCTTATGTGTGTGACTGTAAATGTCGTAGGCACTTGTATGCGGCAGTTTGTAACCGCAGATTGACTATGAGATCAAGTTCGGAGTCCTCATAATCTTGGATGGATGGATGGATGGATGGATGGATGGATGGATGGATGGATGGATGGATGGATGGATGGATGGATGGATGGATGGATGGATGGATGAACGGTTGGATGGATGGATGGATGGATGGATGGATGGATGGATGGATGGTTGGATGGATGGATGGATGGATGGATGGATGGATGGATGGATGGACGGATGGATGGATGGGATGATGGGCGGGTGGTACATGAAGTAGCAGAGAAAAAGAACCATTGTCAATTGCTGTTGCTGTTTTCTGTTCCCAGTGTTTGCGATTAAGCACGGGCGGCCTCTCAAAGACCTCAACGGGCCAAGTCAGCAACATTCTTGCCGACGATGTGCAAGCCTTCAAGAAGGTTAGTTGCTTACTAGTGAGGCTGGATAACAGATATGAACTCAAAAAAAAATATACCTTTTTTCTCAACCTAATTCTGTCCTAATGTCTTTGGGGACTATGGTGGCATTCAGTATCAGCCTGTTCAATTCCCTCCTGACTCCGGGCCTGTGAGACTGCCAGTGGTGTATATGTGTCTATCAAGTCACGGATGCCATTACCCTATATCTCCTTCGTAGTCTCACATGGCTCCTCCTTCTGTTAATGGTCCCTTGTAGTATATGAATGGTGATGTTACTGTTACCCACTCCTGTGACATGTCCCAATTATCAACTATTGCAGTTTCCACCTTTTTATCATGTTAAGTTTATTTCCATTCCTAGTGCTGCAAAAACAGAGTCACATTTCATCCCCGGGGACTAGATCCTGCGTTTAGAGTCCATGCCTCACAGCCATAGGCTATCAAATTAAGGCAGCAGAAAAAATGCCCTCAACAGTCACTTAGTTAAAACACTGTAAATATGTTCTAGATGATTTGTGGTCACTGGATTCTTACAGACTATTGTATTGGATTATTTCTGCATTGATAGCACTTAGAACAAACTTTAAGATAGACCCACAATCCTAGCACTGAGACTTGTTAAACTGTGATAAGCGAGTGTTTTCTCCAGAATAATGTATTTCTCCAGAATAATGCATACCCGGAGACGGTCCAGCAGAGTGTCTCATCCTAAACCACATAGGACTAGATATGCACGGCTCTGGATACCCCCCCTTCTCTATCAACACAGATCTACTTTGTTTTTCAGGCTTTTGATAAACTCCATAACCTGTGGGTTTCTCCTCTCACGATTGTGGTCATCACTTGGTATCTCATCAACTTCATGGGCTTGTCTGCCCTAGCTGGGCTCGCCTACATGTTTCTGACAATAGCCATCGAGGGTTCTATGACGCCACTTCACATCAAATATGGGTACGTGAAAGCATTTAATCAAATTGAATGGTAAAACTGTTAGTCTAAGGGAGTGCCTGATACATGTATGCATCGGGATGTGCGTGTGTGTGTGTGTGTGTGTGTGTGTGTGTGTG